ATCCAGGTGAGGTCCAGGTGGCACCAGGAGGTCCAGGTGAGATCCAGGTGAGGTCCAGGTGGCACCAGGAGGTCCAGGTGAGATCCAGGTGAGGTTCAGGGAAGATCCAGGTGGGTCTGGGAAGGACCAGGTGAGGTTCAGGTAAGATTCAGGTGAGATCCAGGTGACACCTGGAAAGTCCAGGTGAGGTCCAGGAGGGTCCAGGCAAGATCCAGGTGAAACCAGGAGGGTCCAGGTGTGACCAGATGTATCCAGGTGTGCTCAGGTGTGATCAGATGAGATCCAGGTGAGGTTCAGGTGAGACCAGGAGGGGTCCAGGTGGGACCTGGAGGTCCAGGTGAGGTCCAGCTGAGGTTCAGGTGTGACCAGGTGAGATCCAGGTGAGCTCCAGGTGAAACCAGGAGGGTCCAGGTGTGTCCAGGTGAGCTCCAGGTGGAACCAGGAGGGTCCAGATGTGACCGGGTGAGATCCAGATGAGCTCCAGGTGGAACCAGGAGGTCCAGGTGAGATCCAGGTGAGGTTCAGGTGGGACCGTGGGGCTTCAGGTGAGATCCAGGTGAGGTTCAGGGAAGATCCAGGTGGGACTGGGAGGGACCAGGTGTAACAAAGTGAGACCAGGTGAGATCCAGGTGAGCTCCTGGTGGGACTTGGAGGCTCCAGGTGAGGTCCAGGTGAGCTCCAGGTGGAGCCAGGTGAGCTCCAGATGTGTCCAAGGTGGGAACAGGAGGGTCCAAGTAGGACCAGGAGGGTTCAGGTGAGGTTCAGGTGAGACCAGATGAGACCAGGAGGGTCCAGGGTGTGACCAGGTGTGACCAGAAGAGATCCAGGTGTGTCCAGGTGTGCTCAGGTGTGACCAGGTGAGATCCAGTTGAGGTTCAGGTGAGACCAGGAGGGTCCAGGTGTGTCCAGGTGGGATCAGGTGAGGTTCAGGTGTGTCCAGGTGGGATCAGGTGAGGTTCAGGTGTGACCAGGTGAGATCCAGGTGAGCTCCAGGTGTGACCAGGTGAGCTCCAGGTGAGGTTCAGGTGGGACCAGGAGGGTCCAGATGTGACCAGGTGAGGTTCAGGTGGGACCAGGAGGGTCCAGGTGTGTCCAGGTGAGCTCCAGGTGGAACCAGGAGGGTCCAGGTGTGACCAGGTGTGTCCAGGTGGGATCAGGTGAGGTTCAGGTGAGCTCCAGGTGGACCAGGAGGGTCCAGGTGTGATCAGGTGAGGTCCAGGTGTGACCAGGTGTGTCCAGGAGGGATCAGGTGAGGTTCAGGTGAGCTCCAGGTGGACCAGGAGGGTCCAGGTGTGCCCAGGTGACCTCAAACCACCCCAACTGACCCCTCCCCCCCCCTCCCCCCCCTTTCAGGCTGCACCTGTCGACCTTCCAGCCCTCGCTGACCCAGCTGTGCAACCACACCTGGCCGCGGGACGTGCACCTGGTGGGCGACTTCTCGGCCCCCTCGCGCTTCTTCCTGGCCGTGGCCGTGGGGGGGTTCCTGCTGGCCCTGGGGGGGCTGGGGGGTTACCTGGCCTACC